GCGTCCGGAGCCTGTGCTCCGCAGCGGGAGAGGCCACAGCAGTGAGAGGCCCGTGTACCACAAAAAAAAAAAAAAAAAAAAAAAAAGAAGGGCTGGGCAGTGCTTTTCTGGAAATGGCTCACCTAGCACAAACCTGCTTGCCTCCCTTCCTGGTGGAGGTAGCTGCGTGTGAACATTTAAGGTGAAGAGTGTAGATTAAGGTGTAGAACATTGCAGCTGTGACTACAGTTAAGGTGTAGAACATTGCAGCTATGGCTACAATTAAGGTGTAGAACATTGCAGCTGTGGCTGCCACAAACTGGTCTGATCTATTAACTTTTGCTCTGTCCCTGACCCTTTGACTCTGTTTTGTTTTTGTTTGTTTTGTTTTTTAGGATGAAATTATACATAATTTAAACTCCAGGACCTAAATGGAAAACAAGATGCTTATCTCTGGTTGCAGGTTCCAACCCTCCTGAATATTGATACCTATGTGTGCCATGCCATATTAAGAAAGTCCATGTCTGGTCTGCTACTCTTAAAGCAAGCCACCTCCTACTTGCTACTGTAGTTGAGCTAGCTGTAAAGTTGGGCTAGCTTTATTTCAAAAACCCCTCAATCACAAGTGGCAATGGACTTATTTATTTAGAAAGCTTAAGCTGTGGTTTTAGGGTCTCTAAGGGACCTAGTAGTATCTGCTGTTACTAAAGCATGACCAAGAGAAATCTGGGTGCTCAGGTGCTCAGCTGTGAGCAGAAGTTGGGCTTCTAGAGACCAGGAAACATGCAAGGTATAGGAACTTTATATTTTGGGGGCATTTTGTTGAGTGGGTGAACTGAGGGATTTGGTCTTGATGTCTGGCTTCCTCTGTCTCTATCTGCAAAGCTCAAAGTTAAAAAGAACCCACAGAAAATACATTGGGAGGGCAACTGCTGGATCTGGGCTGGTCCCTTCCCCTTATTCTGTGAGATGCTAACAGCCAGGCTGTACACCTGGGTGGGGGCCCAGAAAATGTGAGCTGGCAGAGGGTGTAGAGAACAGTGTTCTTAAGTGCCAAGAAGGATTGAACTTTTAATGTGATTGTAATGAAAAGCTGATGAATATGTTAGAGGAATGGATGAGTGGTTTTATGTAGTCTTAACCCAGCAGTGTAGTTTCTTCCTTGTTCTTTATCCTTTTCAGAACACTGGGAGAGTGCATGCAGGGCTCTCCACTGATCTCCCTCAGTGCTCCTTCTGTGGTCCTGATGCCAGGTGTCCTTTCTTGGAGACTCAGTCTGCTATCTCCTTTGGTGGCTACACCACTCATTCCCTTGGTGTTTTCTACTTCCTTGCCTTCACCTAGCTTAAGACTGGGAAGGGAGTTAGGTGGTGTCCCCAGCTTTTCATTTTCTCACTGTCCACCCCACTAAACTAGATTAGCTGTAGGTGTAAATTGGGGGGGGCAAATGTTGGATCTGGACTGGTCCCTTGCCCACATAATTAGGTCCCTGGCTATATGTTCCCATAGCACCCTATAGTTCCTCTTTCAGAATAATCAATTCCCTTGTAATTGCTCAGTTTGTGTCCTGCATGACTACAGACTTGCTGGTGGTAGGGACTGTTTGTCTTGGACTTTGCTGTCAGCCCTTAGCACAATGTCTGGTACATAGTATGTTCTCAAATATTTATTGTTAGAATAAATGCATTAACTCATTATGCCCTTCATTTCAGAAACTGATTGCTAACTACCATGGGAAAATAAAGTAAATATGGGGATGGAAAAAATTCTAAAATTAGTTTCTGCTCTGCTTCTGACTCCCTCTGAGCTAAGAACGTTAGTGTGGGAGAGCCTACAAGCTGGACCTCCTTCCAGGCTGGCCCCACCTTTACTCTAGTGGTCTCTTTTCACAGTCTGAAGAGGCCACCAAGGTACAGCCAGGAGTGAAATTTCCAGTGTAGGTGACTGCAGTTCCCTTAGCCTCTGCCCTGCCCGTGTATCAATAAATTTGGGCTATTTCTTCAGATACGAATTTTCTCAAGAAATTCTTTCCCTTCGTGGCATGGGTCATATCACTGGTAGTTAACCTTTCAGTGAAATAACTTCTTCTTCCTAATGACCTGATTGAAAAGCTTCTGCACCTCTGCCTCTCATTTCTCATGTGAAGTCAGCAAACTGAATTCCTCAATTTGAAGGTGGGGTTTTTGTCTGTTTTCCACGCTGTAATACTTTCAGCGCCCAGAAGCATACCTAGCACATATTTGTTCGGAGTGAATACTCATGCACTTCTCACCCTGCTTAGAGATGACAAACTTTGACCAGGACACCTGTCCACCCACTTCTCGGAATTCAGCCTCTCAGGATTTAGGTAGGTCAAAGTAAAAAAAAAAAAAACTTTCCAGCACCCACAGGTGAGGATATTATGCAAAACAGGTCGCTTGTCTTGAGATAAGTTTCGTTTGGAGGGGAAAGTACATTCCTCCAGAGACAAATCGAAGCGTGTTTTTGCGTCGAGTGCCCTGCTTCCGCCTTCCGTGTCAAAGGAGACACCGGACTTAACACAGAAGGAGAGCCAGCGGCGGAGCCGAGGGAGGGCGGCGGCGGGCTACTAGCTTCACCCGCCTCTTTTCTTCCACTCCCGCCTCTTTCCTTTCCTACGCAGGCAGGTGGGGCCCACATCTGCGTAGGAATGGAAAGGGGCCGGAAGGGGCCGGGCCGCAGGCGCCCAGACTTCCGGCACTCAGCCGGGCTGCCCTGCGGGTAGTTCTAACGCGAGGCGCGCGAGCGGACTGGGTGACGTCAAGGAAGGCAGTGGGGCGGGGGACGTGTTGGGCATGCGCAATAGATCGACTTCGCCCACCCTGGTCCCGCCGGCAGTAAAGGACCTGACCACGGGGGTGGGGTTTCCAGTTTTGTGGCAGAGGGTGGGCGCCTAGCGGCTTTCTTGGCAGCGGGCAGGAAACTGGCAGGAGTTCCTGAGCCTGAACGTGCAGCGGAAGTAGAAGAACGTATGTATGTGTGAGAGAGACCTCTGCCTCATTTAACAAATGACGATACTATGCTCAGGAAACGGTGTAGGGGTTGAGGTGAGCCCATCGTCCGAGGGTCCGTGGATGTCCACTAGTAGGGGAAGGCGGGACCAGCAGAAGTTAAAATACAACCCTCTTGCAATTCTACCCGATTTCATTTATTTACTTTTCTGTCTCAGGGTGAGATGGTTGGTAGTCCACATTCTAGTGTATATTAGTTTAATCAGATTGCTATTCTTACAACTATTGGCGGGAAGAGAAGGGGGAGTTGGCAGTGAAAAGAGTGCATTTGGAACCTAGAACTCCATCTCAGAGGGCAGTTTCAGGTGAAATGCTCAGAATTTTGCCAAAAACTCCTCTGCTTCCTTTCTGCCCCAAACTCCTTAACGTTTGAATCAGAGAAAATAAATTACAATAGGTAAAATTCAGCCAGAGAAAATTTAAATCTAGGCGTAGGCTAGAAAGACACATGAATTTGGGACTAATGGAGGGAGGCCAAGTCAACCAAAAAATCAGATAGCATTGTTGACCCCACTTTGTCTGGGCTGGGTTAGCATTCCAAAGCAGAGGGAGGGGAAAATGGCCTCTGGAAGATGCTGTAAGACTTAAGGGAAAGTTGTTGGCAGGTTTCCTGGTATGTCACTAGCTGGTGTTAATAATCCACTGCTACTGCTTTGATTTTAGGCCCTTCTTCAAGTGTCTGGAGCTCAGAGATGCAGCCCAGGGGAGGGAAATGTGACTAGTTGAGGAGGCCATGCTTACTGTTGCTGCCAGATCCCATGTCAGCACCAAGTCCTCAGCTGCTGGTGGCAGCTGCTCAGCAGACCCTGGGCATGGGAAAGAGACGAGGCCCACCCCGAGCTGTCTGCCTTCATCTAGCCGGAGAGGTGCTGGCTGTGGCCAGGGGACTGAAGCCAGCTCTGCTCTATGATTGCAACTGTGCAGGGGCAGCAGAGCTCCAGAGCTATCTGGAGGAGCTGCAGGGCCTGGGCTTCCCGACCCAGGGACTTCACATCCTTGAGATTGGAGAAAACAGCCTGATTGTCCTTCCTGAGCATGTGTGTCGGCACTTGGAGCAGGTGCTGCTTGGTACCATAGTCTTTGTGGATGTTTCCAGCTCTCAACTTCACCCTTCCATCTGCTCCCTGGACCAGCTTCAGGACTTAAAGGCCCTCGTGGCTGAGATCATCACACATTTGCAGGGGCCACGGAGGAACCGATCCCTGGCAGTCTCCTGCAGCAGGCTCCGTTCCTCAGACTGGAATCTCTGTGCTGTGTTTGGGATCCTCCTGGGCTATCCTGTCCCCTATACTTTTCACATGAAACAGGGAGATGACAACTGCTTAGCCCAGACTGCACTACGGGTGTTCACCGCCCGGATCTCATGGCTACGTGGTCAACCACCAGTCTTGCTCTATTCCTTTAGTGTCCCAGAGAGCTTGTTGCCATCCTTGAGGAACATTCTAAACACTTGGGAGAAGGACCTTAGAACTCGATGTAGGACTCAGAATGACTTCTCTGACCTCAGCATCTCCTCTGAGATAGTCACACTGCCGGCTGTGGCCCTCTGACTTTAACTCTTTTCCTGTGTAGAAGGAACTTGGTAAGTGATCAGCTCTAGGTCGGAGATGGCACATAGGAATCATCTCAAGTGCCAACTCCAGGCATCTCGGGGCCCTAGGGAAGAATGCTGTAATAAATTTGCCATTTTTATGCTGAACTGGACTAGGGAGAGTAGACCAGGATGCTTCAGGAATAAACAGAGTTCTTTGGCACAGAGGCCATCAGGTGAAGTTTGTTTATTTTTACAGCAGGTTAAAAAAATGAGAGTCAGAAATCTCAGTTGAGTTGGAAAAACCCACACATTAAAGTACCCAGACCTGAGTTTTTTACTGAATTTCTTGCTTCTGATTTTCACCCAAGGCAGCTGTCACCAGTTATTCAGAGCTTCAGGCTGTCCTTATTGGCCAGGAACACTGCCACTGCTATAGCAATCAGTGCCATCAGCATCAGAAGCCATCGGCCACATTGCCTTTGTGAGGAGGGAGGGGGAGAGAAGAGAAAGAGGCCATGGGTTGGTCAGAGAAGATGCAGGCAAAAATAATCTTCCTTCTTCCCATTCTAGCCCAGTGGAAAACCTTGGGTTGGTGGAGGAGAAAAAGCTTTTTATATCTCTGTCTCTCTCACTTTGCCACCTCCCTCGGGATAAAACCACTTCCCAGTGGTCACTGGCCCAGCGAACCACAGCCAGCGGGGGCCAGGTACTTAAATACTGATATGAATAATCAAAAGTGGAAAATAACTCAGCAAAATTGTATTCTGTTTATATTCCCCTTCTCGTCACTCTGTCCTTGCCACTATGCTCATAATAGACTAAAAGAACACCATTTCATACTTCAGCTAGTAGTAAGTTTTTCCCTTCAGGCTCAGGCTTTCCATGAAAATTAGGCTTGGAGGCATGAGCCAGTGTTTCTTTACATGGTTGCTATACTCTCAGTACAGTATAAACCAAGCTGAATGGAGCCGGCTGGTCAGATGTTGGCAGGGGCTGAACAATTTTATGGGCAAGATTTGGCTAAAGGAGGAATCGTCCCACGATCACCTAGGGCTGTATGGGAGGATAGACCCTCTTACTCTGGGAGGCAGCTGCTGGCTCTGGTTCAGCTCTTCTCGACAATGCTGCAGCTTACGCAGGCAGAAGAGATACTCATCACTGAGGTTGTCTAATTCTGAATGCAGTTCTCTGCACTGTGTGGGGGCCGGGGGGGGGGGCGTTGCGGGAGAACACCACCAAGGTCATCAAGACAGTTCTGTCAGGGACAGAGCCCAGGTAGGGGAGAGGGCCCTGTGTAAGTTGCCCTGTCATTCATTTGGAATTTTTACCTCCATCCTCCCTTCCCAGCTTTTCTCAGAGCTTTCAGTTTGCCTTCTGACTGTCTCACCTAGTTTGTTTGTAGTGTGTTCATTTAAATGATTGATTATAATGCATATTATTATATATTATACATGTGTGACAGTTGTATGTGCCAGTGCTTTGTAAATGGAGACACACAAAAATGAAATTCCTATAGCACACACAACCTGAAAGAGATCTCAGTGCAAGTCTCTTTGCTGGGAACTAGTTGGATGTGAACACAACAGGAGCTATGTATTTCTGAGTATGCAGATAGGAAGAGTTTTGTTATTTAAAAGACACCGTATAAAGTTTTAAGATACTCAGTGTAGGACAAAGTTTGAGGAGTTAATGTGTTTGTTAAATGTGTTTGAGTTTAGGTTGACTTTCTGAAAAGTAACTCTTCAGTAAAACCTTGAATAAGGGTTGGTATAAACAAGAGAGAAGATTGACAAGTTAACCCGAAAGCAAAGCTGTTTTATTCAGGCCTAAATGAATACCTGCAGGCATCCAATCACAACTTAAGCTCTGAAATGCCTGTTGTCTGGCTGCCTCCCAGCAGTTTCCCTGTCACTGTAGGATGAGCCCCTTACTATCAGAGGTCACCATCTCACCTCCGTTTCCTTGGCCAGGAGCTGCAAAGTTTCCTTTTGGAGCTGGTCTCTGAAATCCCAGTCCTTCTTCCCTGGACCACCTCGTTATGGGAGGGCTTTGGACTCCACCGAGGCAAAACCTGATCTAAAAAATCAGCCAGATTCGCAGTGATAGTGAGGCCCATACCTCTGAGGAATGGCCCCTACACACTGAGAGAACCCCTAGGTGGCAGGGAATAAGGAAGGGCCTGTCCCTGGCCAGACTGTGTGGATTGCAATTCTCTGACTTTTAAAGAACATCCACTGGGACCCTGCCCAGACTGGACAGAGAGTGGGAATTTGAGCCCCTTGAGGGCAAGGTTGGCATTTTACTTTTCTCTGTATCTCTAGTCCTGTCTAAAGCCAGATACTTTTAGAAAATACTTATTAATTTAGTTTCTTTGGTCGCATGTCACATCTTTTAGACTGGGAGGTTTGCTGGATGCTTCAGTATAACTCCATTTTCCTTCTGTCCTTGTTTCAAAATGATGAGATGAGAATGGCAGTCATATAACTCATCTTCATGTAGTTAAAGATGGTTTTTCAGCCACCTGGCAGTCTGCATCTTGGTGAAGAGAGCCCTGGCCTGGGAGTCAGAAATTCTGGATTGTTGTCATAGCTGTGTCCTTAATTTGTATGACCACAGACCTTCATTTACCTACATTTTCTTATCCATCCTATGTGGGCATAATAATTCCTTCTTTATATTTTACCCAGTGATTGTGATGACAAAACAGAGGGCCATGTGCAGTGGATAAATGAGGAGCTTTTGCCCCTCCAGATGTATGATGAACTCTTCTCAGGACCCTAAGGCAGCAGCCTTGAGGGCTGAGAGTGAGGTGACTGTTCCATGTGATGTGGTTTCTACTTGGGGAGCTGGATGTGGTTTGGAAAGTTAAGGGTAAAAATTAACATAAAATCCTGAGTTCAAAATCAATTTATTGAAATATTCAATACAGACATATGTTTTCAGATGGAGTAGGAATCCTTTTCACAGTTTATATACCTCTCAGGATAGGAGGCTAGCTAAAGTATTCTCAGAGCCGGTGATGAGTCCTTAAAATGGCCCTCTAGCTCCCTGACCTAATAGACTCCCAGAGCTGGGTGGGACTCCAAGAGGTCATGTAGTCCATCCCTCTGTCTCTAGGCAGACAAGGAAAGGGCAATATCTTAGAATTTGTGGAAATAAATTTGCTGACCTTTCTTTGTTAAGAGTTTCTCCTGTTCTTGAAGCTGTAAGGATTGATTCTGAAGCAGACCTGTTGGAAAACACAAGGAACTTTTCTGTGCTAGCATATTTGCTGCGAAGAGTATCTTTTCAGAACTTTGCTTAGAGCCTTAATGATTGTGTTCCCATCTGTAGTTGGTTGAATTGTGTCTCCCCCACCTGCCCCCCACAAATTCATATGTCAAAGCCCTCACTCCCAGTACTTCAGAATGTGACCCTATTTGGAGATAGGTTCTTAGCAGAGGTAATCCAGTTAAAATAGGACATTAGAATGGGCCCTAACCTAATATGACTGACGTCCTTATAAGAAGGGGAAATTTGGACCCAGACGTGGATGGATGGAAGACATGTGAAGAGATGGACAAGACAGCCATCTCCGAAACAAGGAAAGCGGTCTAGAACAGATCCTTCCCCCAGAGCCCTCAGAAGGAACCAACCCTGCCTGACACCTTGATTTTGGACTTCCAGCCTCTAGCACTATGAGAATGTAAATGTCTGTTCTTTAAGTCACCCAGTTTGTGGTGCTGTGTTATGAACACACCATCCTTATGTCTTTTCCTACCATGTACATTTAAGTCTCTGCTTAAATGTTACCCTAGAAGAAAGACTTCCCCAGATGACCCTGTGTAAAATAGCAACTATTTTCTCTTTAACCTGCTTTATTTTTTTTCTCTGTAGCCGTTATTAATACCTGACACATATTTGTTCATAGAAACTCCGTATTCCACTGTAGTGTTTCCTTAGAATGTAAGCTTCGTTAGGGAAGAAACCGTGCCAGCTCTGTTCATTACTGTGTCCCCAGTGTGTATCTAGGGTGCCTGGCACTTGGTAGGGGCTCAGTAAATATGTATTGAATAAATAAAGGCATGATTTTGAAGTGACTTGCCCATTCAGCTCCTGCTGTGTAGGAGCCCGGCTTCTGCTGGTTTTCTTTTTCCCTTACCCCTGTGGCTGCCTTGCTGTTTTCATATTCATTGCTGTTTGCATGAAACTTTTCTGTCAGGGTGTCAGAGGTTAAGGTGTGAGCTATTAATTGAATCAGGTTCTCCAGCTTTTCAGAAATTGCCTGCTTTTCTTCTGAGACGTCCCTTTTCTTTGGCCTCAACATGTAATTTTGAAGTGGACTGAGGCATATGTAGTGTGAGCTTATTTTCTGAACCATTCCTAGTGACAGAGGTCTGTGTGACATATGTACATAATAAATTAGAATATATAAAATAAGAACTACCTTAGAAAACTCAACACGTTTTGAAATCTGCAGTTCTGGGGGAAATGCAGGTGGTTGTCAGAGAACATGGTGGAGAAAGGTAGAAACAAAAAAACCCAGAGGCTAATGTGGAACTTGTGAAGAGCTGTAAATGACCTCACTGCACAAGAAGAGGGTCTGAAAATGCAGAGGTAGAGGATATGCCAAGGACCGGGCTCCCCATCCCTCCTTTGGGTGCCGTTCGTGGGGCAGGAACCCCAAGAACACCAAAAAGCCACCTGTGCTACTTTCAGAATCTGGAAAAGGGACTTACTCTGCAACTGCTGTACTTTGGTCACCAGGGCAAGTTTCTCCTCCTCTGACCTCTTTAGCTGATCTGAAAATGAAATAATGCAAACCAAAATAGACGAACCTAAGATTTAATGAGCTCGCCCCTGAGGCTGGAAATTAGTAACAGATGCTGTCTTGCCCATGGCCTCTGACAAGTGTCAAGGGGAGGTTGTTCTGCTTGTCCCAGTTTGGAAGAGGTGAACCAGAACCCGACTCCCTGGGATTTCATCTGCATCAACAGTGGGCTGAATTAAGGGTTATATGTGCACATAATTTGGTCCTCTCAGCTGACAGAGGCTGTGACTGGGAAACCTTCACTATGCCTTGTGTTTCAACTGACCTTTCCCTTTAAATTAGGAATGCGGCCTTGACACGTGACTGCTGTGTTCTGGCTTAGAGGGATGGGCTGGATCCTTTCAGTCTCGGATGATTAAAACAGCCTTGACTTTTTCTCAAAGTCAAATGAAATCGCCAAGTCAACCAAATGAA